TGCCAAGGCTGGTTGGTGCGTCTGCGGTCGTGTTGGTGCTCTGGGGTAGGTGCTTCCGTTCCGTGCTGTCTTCAGCCAGGTTCGCCACCAAATCTGGCGCTTGCCGCTTGTAGGATGCTGGTTGAGAGCGCCGCTTTTCCTAGCGAGCTTCCCTTAACGCTGTCGTGAAGACCAGCCTCTGAAGTGGCTTTTTTGTTTACGAGAGGAGAAGGAAACGACATTCGCGCAGAGTTAGTTATGAGTGGAACGGACTTAATATGAGCAGAGAAAATACATTACTGCTAAGTAGACTTACGGCACAAAGCATGTGCTTTAATACGCCTGCAAGTTCTTTACTGTTTCTTCCTCGCTGTTGTCTGAAATTTGCAATGTAATTTAACGTTTAGTTGCCTCAGGGAGGATGTGCAAACCGTTAAGCAGTGCATGTTAGTGCTAGTTTTCCATGCAGTCTGTATAACCTGGAGTAAATCATTTTATTGCGATTACAGTTTTTCTTCTGCAACCAAGAAAAGGTTGGTTACTTTTGCAAATACAGCTACGTTTGATGTGCACGTATAGCTACAGCTTGGGGGGGGGGTGCATACCTGTGTGCACGTATCTAATTTAACCGGAGTAAAGCATGATCTAGTAGCTTCTTCCTTATTTCTCCCAGAAAGCTGCTGCTACCCGTGGAGCTCATAGTACGGGAGAATTGCAATCTGGCTGTTTCCAGGATAGGTCCCGGGATAATACAGTGCTTGAGAGAGTGGGTTAATGGTATCTTGGAGGTTGGGGAGGAGGGAGCAGCCAGCAAAGTCAGCATCTTCAGTGAGCTAAACTCTAGGCTTTGGAGACAGGTTTGGACAGACAGAACCCAGTATTGTTTAGCCCAGGGGACAAATGTCAGCAGGGATTTAGTCTGAGATGTCGTGCTGAAGCATTCCTTTTCTTAGCAAGTATGTAGCTTCACAGGCAATGATTTTTGTCTTGTTTGGGCGAGCAGTATTTTATAGTTGCCAGTGTTAGCACAGACCTGACTGGAAGCATTTTGAACAGGAATGCATGCAAAATCAATAACTCCTCCCGCTGCCAAATTTACTCGAGTCCGAGCCCCTTGGTTCCCAGTACTGCTTATGAAACCTAGAAATGGGAAGGGTGGTGAATCCTCCCAGTTGATTTTTGAACACGTTGCCAGATTAACACATCCAGAGCTTTTGACTTCGCACAAAGAGCGAGCTGTTCCTCCACGCTTGAATTCTGGGCTTTCTCTCATACCAGACTGTAATTGCTACTGTAAGAGGAGCATGCTCAGCATGCATGGGAGAGAACGAACAATGCCTCTAAAGTGGCATTAATTACTATGGGAAAAATTGAAGTTGTGGCAAAGCAGATGCTGGAGAGGTGAATCTGCATGAAGGGATCACCGTCTGTTAATTATTATGAATTATTTATGTCTCAGAGAAGGAAGCTTGGTAAAATTTGACATCTGAGACTTACCTGTTGTCAGAGGGTGCTAGTAATGAATCAAACGGTTTTCCATTGGGGATGGTGTGATCATAACTGCCGAAATGTGGATAACTGATGTCTCTCTAATTCTCTCTTACGCTTCTCTGTCTCGCTTCTTGTCTGCTGCTCCTTCTCCCTAGCTGGTTTTTGTTCTGCAGTATGTGTTGAAGTTCCATCGGAGACAGAGGCTGTCCAAGGAACGCACATGAAGCTGCTCTGCATCTCCTGCATGAAGAGGGAAGAGGTCACAGCCAACACAGTGGTGGAATGGTTCTACAGGACGGAGGATGGAAAAGATGAACCTGTATGTATGTTTGGTAGCTGATCCCTTGTTGCCATAGGTCTTACTGTGAAACACAGTTCAGTGAACTCATGCAGGAGAAGCCAAAAGGTATTTATGAGAGCGTAAGTTTGCCCTGCGGCAGGATCCCCAAGGAAGACTGTGCAAGGGGAGAGACCCAAATATGAACAAAAGCTTTCTGCTACATTCTTATTCAAAGTCTATAGAAATGCTCAGCAGGCTGCTTTCGTATCACGGAGGAGAGATGAGCTTCATAATTTCTGCAGCATTTTCACCCAGAGGTTCCACAGCACCAATTTTGAGCAGGAACTAAAGTGTCTTTTCCTCACTTAGCTGATTTCCACACTTGGGCATAGTATGAATTCATGGCAGGAAAAGCTAGAATCTATTGAGTTCAAATATCTGGGGCTGTACATGCATGAATGTGAATTTCCAGTTTCATTCCTTGAGTACTAAGTATTCTCTAGTCTAGTACGTAAGGAAATCAAGAAGGGAAACGGAAGTATGGAGTGACACCTGGTACCCTTGGCCAAGTCTCCTTTCTTAGGACAATTCTGAATCCCAAAGCTATTCTTTGGAGGTTAAATCGAGCTCTGATAAATCTGGAGGACAGGATTTACTTCTTTTTGCCTCAGAGAAAGCAGTGGTATCCTGACTGTGGGAGGATCTCTGTCAGGAAAAGGTAAAATTCATTTTCAGAGTGACTCAAAATGGGAATCGTTCAGGTGAGGGGCAACTGGAATTCAAGAGAGAATGGTAAAACAGAGAGTAAGATACAGGCTGAGTGCACACATTTGTTTCTAGCTATTTTATCCGAGTATGAAGCATTGGATCAGTGGTTGCATTTCATCACAACTGAGCCAGGGCCAGGCAAGATGACAAATACTCTCCTGCTGTCTGAGAACTAAAGGGACCATGCTAAGGAATGAGATGGGAATTCGCTTTCAGTGACCTGAGTGGTAACATTTGCCAGTGGCAACCTAAAAAATGCAAACGAGAGTGAGCTGGGGCGGGCACTTTAACACTGGGAACTGTGGTCAGCCAGAAGCTTGCAAGAGATTAGGCCTGCGAAAGCCACCCGAGCTCTGTTCTTCTGATGTACTGTTTTCACACTGCAACACTTCCACTTCAGCTGAACATCCCAGGGCTTACCAAAAATGACTGTTTGTCTTTGCTGTATTTTTTCTGTGGTTCCTTCTTAACGTGATCTTACGTGCAGTGACTGACAGGCTAGGCACGAAGACTGCAGGCTCCTAGTTTTTAGTTCCATTGCTGATCTTTTGTGTCATTGTCCATATGTGTCTCTGTTTTTCTGTGCCTTAGTTTTTCTACCTCTGTGATTGAGACAGTTTTCCGTCTTTTGTAAACTGGTCTGAGATTTTGAGGTAAAGGAAGATAGAATATGAACAGCTGCTGTTGCTAAGGAAGCCATAGCCTGGAACATACATGTGTGTAGCTAGGGGATGATGTTCCTTGCGTATGCTGCGCTGTCTGAGATAAGAGTCAGTGATAATACCCCTTCACATTTCCTCACAGATCTACGAGTACAGGAAAAGAAACCATGAATTTGCAAGCCGCTTCAGCGGTCGGTTACAGTGGAACGGGAGTAAAGACATGCAGGATGTATCCATCACCGTGTTAAACGTGACCTTGAATGATTCGGGCATCTACACCTGTAACATCACCCGGGAGTTTGAGTTCGAGATTCACCGACCTCTCTTCACAAGCTCCAGAGTGATCCACCTCACCGTGGTGGAGGAGGGTAGGAAGGATTGGCAGAAAGCGTGTTGTGCCTTAACTCGCCGTGGGTGGTGTCATCCAGGGATGTAGTTTGTCATTGCATTGCAGGAGAGGGGAGACTGAGCTGCCGGTTATTTGTGCCCTTCTTCCCCAGCCACAAACACTACCCAGGGTTCAGGAGGAAAGACGTGCATTTTGTTTGCCAGCCGCAGCCTCTTTTTAGGCTCAGAGTGGTTGTGTGTGAATGTGGGAAGGTATAAAGCTGGGCAGGCTGGGGCAACAGCTGGGCACAGCTGGGCGGGCACAAGAAGCAAGCAGAGGTTTCCAGTTTCTCCGCTTCTCCCCTGCCAGCGCCAGGATGCTACAGCACGGCTTTCACCAGGGTTCCGGCAGCTTCTGTTTCCTGGCTCCCGCCCCCTCCCTCTTGGAACCACTCGTTCTCCATTTTGATATCAGTCTCTTGCTTCCATCCTCTCCCAACCCCTCCTTCCCTTTGTGGTGCTCCCGAATCTTTCTGTTCCTCTTGTGTTTGTTCAGTTCAGTGCTGAAATCCTGGCTCGTTAGAAATCCATGGGAATTCTGCCGCTCTGTTCGGAGAGGGACGAGAGCTTTTAGCCCTCATCTTTTTCTGCTGCGTCTTCCCTTCCCTTCTTCCCCACAAGCATCTCTGTGTTTTGATTTCTTTCAAATCACTGGCGGCACAATACAGTCAAGTAACACCAGCGAGTAGGACGCACAAAGGAAACAGAGTGTGAAGATGAGATAGGCTAACGGTGAGCAATCTGTGTGAATGTGTGGGTGGCAGAGAATGCAAGACACATGGAAGCCTGTGCATGCTTGATTCCGCTGGAAACACGCAGTGGGATGGCTGCTGCCATATCCTGTTGGCAGCCTCGCCTGTTCCCTGTCTTCTGCCCCCTCACAGTGTAGTGGCACCTGGGTATCTCTGGCAAGGTGGGTTAGGAAGGATGACGCGGGGGTGGAAAGTGTCAGTGGAGCTGCTGCACTCCGATAGCTGCATGTAAATGATGGGAGATGATTTCATTTTCTTAACAGCTGGAGAAGACTTCACCTCGGTCATCTCTGAAATCATGATGTATATTCTGCTGGTCTTCCTCACCTTGTGGCTACTGATAGAAATGGTCTATTGCTACAGGAAAGTCTCTAAGGCAGAGGAGGCTGCCCAGGAAAACGCGTAAGTGTGAAATCTCTCCAGGTGCGAGCTTCTTCAGATGTCTCAGTCCAGATCAGTCTGCAAGAAGACCGAACTTCGCTATTACATGTTTCTAGCTGATGTTTGCTGTGTCTGGAATTGTTGCAATGTTTAGGAGTACCAAAAGAGACCGAGCACTTGCACAATGTGCTAGGTAGGGAGGGTGGCCACGGTGCTCGGTATTCCGAAGTGGCTGGGTTTGAACTGTGCAGAGATGCTCTCCTGGGAGGCCTGCTTTCAGAGATCTGGCTCGCAGATGCAGTTGACACAGCAGAGATGTTCCCATTTTTATACTGGCCCATTCCCATCTTTCTACATACTTGGCTGGGATAAGGGCGCTCTTCGTATGTGGTAGGAAGGCTGTATGCGTAGGATTTTACAGCAGGGAAGACTTGGTGTCTGCTCGCGACTATGCCGAGGAGTTTCCTACTGCGAGCATCTTCTACAGGTGACGTGTTACCTTGGAGATACTTAGAGGCATTCAATATCTCTGTAAGGGTGAATGCACCCGAACTGTTTTTTGCACTGTAGCACTTGAGGTTATGCTTTCCTCCTTCCCTCCAACTACAGGACAGACTATCTTGCGATTCCATCAGAAAACAAGGAAAACTGTGCCGTGCCTGTGGAGGAATAGCAGAGAGGAGTCAGCAGAAGGAACGGCACCAAGGTAGGCGATGAGGAAGTGGTCAATCACTGCTCGCGTCTGTCGGCCTTTCAGCCTTACTGCCGGGGGTTAGGCGTGCGTGGGGCTGGAGAAAAGGTGGACGGGGGAGACTCCTGGAGCCCGGCTGTGCTCTTTCTCTGGACCAGTGACCTCAGAAGCAATACAGGTATCTTTAGATGGTGGGTGTACTAACATTACTTTAAAGCCCTAACCAACGCACATGTTCACTCTCAGGGTAATTACTCCTCCTTTGCCCATTCTTGTGGAGTTGGGAACAGTCACTGTCCCCTGCAGATGGGGAGCTGTGCTCAGGAGGGCACCATCTCCAAAGGAAGCGTCTGCTAGGAAGGGCTTTGCATGCAAAACACCAAAATCTAGGTCTTGTTCGCGTCCTGTCAGTTACCACGCTAATTGTATCACGATTCTCACTTCAGTAAGGTCAAACGACTCGCACTCCAAGAGGAATTCTCTCAATTGCAGGGGCTCTGAAGATATACAAGGACCACGTCATGCCAGCCAGGTTTGAGGGGGAGCTCTGCGCCGTCGGGAGGAAATACGGGGAAGTGTAAATGCTCTTCCGTTTGCCTTGGACTCTGTACAGCCTTGACTTTGGCCTCATGACTCCATTCTGAGCTGCCAGCCCATTTGCTAAAGGACTCTTCTTTTGAAGCATGCTGAGCAACGGGCACAGGGGTGTGGGCAGCATGGCTCCTTCCCAAGTTCCAGTCCCATCATCACGTTAATGGCTTTGTAAATGTTAAGTGTCATTTCTTAGCTGCTGTCACCACCACCTTTATTTGCTAAATATGCTAGTTCTCCATTGCAGAGGTAAAGGGTATGTATGTCACGTTACTCTGACCTGCAGGACTGGGAATGAGGTTCCACCATGTGTTACAGCCCAAGCACTCTTATCGGTGTTAAATAGGAAGAATTTAATTAATTAGTTGTTGCTTGGTCAGTTGCTCTGGACTTTGGGCTGCCCATGCACAGGCAGAGTAGGATGAGGACCTGTGATGCATTAGAATTGTTGAAAATGTGTAGCAGGAAGGATGAGCCCCTGTGCCATGTTCACACTTGCTTCTGAAGGAGGGAGCTGAGAATATAGATCCTGAAGTACTCCTACTTTGGGAGGTGGTGTGACGTAAGTATAAAAATCCCCTGTCCCCCCCCCTCTCCCCCCCCCCCCCAACACTTCACTTAGCAAGTGTCAAAATTCTTAGTTCCTTCCATTTGCCTTGCATAGCAGGTTTGCTCCTCAAGTACGCAGAGACACAGTGATAGGAATAACCCGCGGAGCCGCGTTCTGCAACAACAGGCAAGCCAGTAGGACAAGGTACGCAGTTCACCCGTTTCTGGGGAAACCCCCGAAAGGAAGACAGCCTGATAGAAGTAGGCAAGTAAAGTACATAGGAGGCACAGCCCTCCCAGGAGAAGGATGGACAGCTTTGTAAAATGGTAGTACTTGTTGTCAGTGATACCCGTCTGCTCCTGCTATAGCGTAGCACCACCTAGGGGAAGAAACAGAAAATGCTTAGTTGTTCCTAGTTAGTCGTGATTCTTTCTTGTGATAATTAGTCACCGGTTTGAATAGTCAGCATTCATCGTAAATGATCCGCTGCTGCACAGGAATCACGCTGTAAATTCAATGTTTCCTATGCAAACTTACCTTTTCAATTGTAGTGGAATGAGAGAGTAAAATTTGGTTTTCTGGCCTCAAATGTAGTCCAGTTGAGCTCAACAACTAGGATTACAAGGAGGGAAAAAAAGGCAGAAACATTGGCCGGGGTGGAATTGTACGTTAAGACAAAAACAGGGGAAGGTTTGGTTTTTTCATATAGCAGGTGTTGTTACATCCCTGCTGCAATGGAGCCTATACTGCTTGCAAGAGTTGACAAATTTTGCTACACTGACTGCTTCTAAATAGTTACACAGTGCTTGTGAATCAAGGCATGCTTCCCACCTATGGAATTTCCTCTGCTTTGTTCTGCTGCTTTTTATGTGTTGCTAAAACCACAGAAATTACTCCATTTGTAAGTCAGGCCCAGGCCAGATTTCTAACTGGCAGTTGTTCAAAATTCCTTTTTTAGAGTGAGTGTCAACTTTAGTAAACTACTACTTCACAGTAGGATCGCTCTCAAGTCCAGAGCCAAGTCTGGCAACCTGAGCCCATTTTCCAGATGAAGCACACTTGTAGTCTGGGCACCGGTTCCTTAAAACCCAATATCCATAGTTCAGCTGGATGTCTTCATCTTCCCTAGGCCAACTTGCCTGGCCTCGGGACAGTTTTGGGTGTAAATCCTAATTCTAAACCCACAGCAACAGAGGAGGGACTAGATTGTAACTGCAGAGTTTCCGTCACTGACCGCGGCATTGACGCCCACGGTGATTTTTAGGTAAGGTCACGTAACCTCTCTCCTACTTCAGCTCTGCTCCTCAGTCCCTGTGAAGCATCGATAACCCTCTGGTGTCATAATGTTAAGTCAAAAAAGGGGTAAACTGAATTTCTTGAGAGCTACCTCAGGTGGTAAAGAAGGGCCGTCCTCTAGTCCTGCACCTTCCGGTATCTTACATGCATCTTAAGATGCTTTATTCTGGACATATCTTTCACTTTTCCAGTTCCTGCGGACGGATATGACTATTGACCTGTGGTGTTCTAGGCAGGAGAAAATGGTGTCTAAATGTTGCTGAAGATTCTCATCACCAAAAAAAAAAAAAACCAACAAAAAACTGGGGATTTTTCAAGGGTGGTGTTAAAGGCAGGCTCTGTCCTGGAAGAGATGGTCGTGGGTGGTCTCTGAAAAGACTCTCTGTATTTGGAAACAACAGAAGAGACTTTAGACTAGGCAGGATAATAAAAAGAACAAAGCACTCACGAGTCGCGCTGTTTGTTTGATAGATTTTTTTAATTTCTACTGTACTTCCATTGTACTAGCTACTTTACATTAAGTTTTGGCTGCATAGCCTTTACAATTCCTAGGTTCTAGCAGGTAAGTTTCATTATCATTTTACCGCATTTTGCGCACAGCGCAAAGTTTATGACAGTTAGACAGCTCCTAAAACAAAACCACGGTTCCTCCCCCACCCCAGCCTAGAGTTCACGTTAGCGCTACAGGCGCACCGGCCTTGGCCAAACAGCCTCCCACTTCCCGGGCTCTGGTGCTGAAATCCAGAAGGGAAGTGGACGCCTACGGGTGATTGTACGACCCACTCCCGTTCCTCGCTGACGTGAGGCGATCCTCGTTAATTTGCAGTTACGCACAGCAATTGGGGTTGCAGGATCCAGGGCCTCAGGTGGGGAGAACACGCCCCAGGTTTTTAGCAGCTTTATCCAGCCCTGGAGCACGCGATGGGAGATGAACTGCCGTGAGAACGGGAACGTCCCGGAGGTGCCACAGCCACACGATGCCAGTCCTGGGCGGTCGTAACGCTGCAACGGTTCTGCCGCTCCTCCCTCCCTCCCCCCAGCCTCGCCGGGCCAAGAGCCAGGTTAGTGCTTCCCTATCTGCTCTGCTAAGTGCCATTACAGGGGAGGTGGGCTCGCAAAGATGGGGAACGGTGTGCGTGGCACAGGCTCCGCCTCTTTGCTGGATAAAGTTGCCGTTTTGTGACAGCCACTCTCCCAAATCCTAATGCAGATTGGGCCGAAACTGAGACGTGACCAAATGGCTCTAGAACCCGAGCTCCACGTTCATTTTATTCCCTAACTATTCTTGGAGTTTGGGTTGGGGAAGGTGGCCTTTTAACATTAGCAATGGGAATTGGCCTGAATGAGTGAGGTAACAGAAACGGCCAGAGGAGGTACCTCCCTGAGCCATGTGCAAATATAATTCCTTCAGCAGAAGGAAGTCCTTTTACCTACAGAAAAAAATAAACCACATTCACTTAAAGAGCATACAGACTGCGGCAAGGAAAGGCAAGCAGGGACAGCACCAGGTCAGTCCATCTATGACACAGGGAATGATTGTCCGGCAGCAAAGGTGTGAGGGGAGAGGGGAAAAGCCATAGCAAGCACTGCCAAACGTGTGGGGGAGAGGAGGGCATGGCACGCCATGGATCCATGCTAAGAGTTAAGCCCATGCTGTCTGGCTAGATCGGGAAATAATCTCAACCGGCAGTCAGTCAAGACACGAGGAGATTATTTGGCCAGTGTGCACATCTAGAAAAAGAAAGGTATTATGGCACAGAGAGACTCGTGCGGTAGAGACTGCAAAGCACAGAGATCAGAGCATGCCAGGCAGGGGGAGTGGGCCAGAAGGTCAGCACGGTCGCGTCTCAAACTACACCGACACAAATGTTTTGTGAGCCACTTACCTCCGATGCTTTGGTTTAAGAGTCTCTGTTGCGCGTATTGTTTTAAGCGGGCCCCTGCCGGCTATTTTAACTAGTGCCGAGACTGAAAAGACTAAGCCAGAGGCCACGTGACTGCGCCGTGAAACGTACCGGTGGCAGCAAGCCTGGCAGATCCCGGCGGTCAGCAGGTAGCGCGGAAAGCGCTGGTCTGTCCAGAGATGTGGGGCAGCAGCAGCTGCCTTGACAAAGGTGACAGAATTGCCCCCCCCCAGAGCCAGGCACTGCTGCTTTAAAGTGTTTGTTACCAACTGTGCTTTTCTGCATACTGTCCCACCTCTAAATTAGGAAGTGGTTCACTTCTGTCCTGGTTGGGAAAGGCAAATGCTGACTGATGGAGCGCTACCTGGTTAAAACGGCTAGTTAGTACGCATCACAGAGACGCTGTGAGGGCATCCTGTGGAGCAGCCCTCTTGGGAGTGTAGCGTCTCCGCACCGATGGCAGAGGAGCACTCGACATGCTGGACACACACTGAGCTGCTTCCCAGATCACTGTGCTAGGCCAGAGACCGTGTACGCCTGGGTACTAACCTTCACAGATTGTATTTTCATAGATGTTAACTCACACGCTGGCTTGATGCACACTGTGCTCACGTAAATCAACCCAGGAGGAAGAGGAGTCCCAAATGTTTTTGCACTCCCAGTAGTGTAGAAAGACCCATCTAACTAGCCAGGAGCGATTCACTCCCCCAAAGCGTCTGTCTACCTCTATTTTGCAGCTCATTCCGTGTGCTGGTCTTTCTTTTAGGGTTGGAGATAATCTCCACCACTCTGTCCTAGTGCTGGATGGTGCAAACGCTGCAGGCTGCTCTGTTTCCTTTATTTAGGATCACTGAAAGATGGTGGAAATACATGTTAGAGAACGCAAAGCTACCAGCAAAGAGAGAGGGATTAAGGCCACGTGAGCACAAGTACTGTGTTCACCAAAACCTGCACGTATGCGCGCCCTTCTGGTTAGCACTTCTGACGTGCGGAAAAGCCAAAGCGTGAGGTTTGCAAGCGTGTCTTTGCTCAGCCTTGGTGTATCGCAGGCACCTTCCCGTTGCCTTTGTGTCTGCACAGAAATGACTTATCCAAAAGCTCTTGTTTCAAGTACCTGGACCAAAAGTGTCTCCAGCCACTATCTGGAAAACAAATTTCTACTTTCTCTCATAAAGGTAGGAAAAAACATGTATATAGGCTAAGTGGTTTAGTGCTGCAGAGACAAGCAGGCTAAAACATCTCTCCCCCTCTACACCCAGGTGAGCCTCTGAAACTAACGGGGTCTGTCTGGTAAGAACACAGATTAAGCACGCCACGCTTTCTGAGAGGGAACACGGGAATGCCCGCATCATTATTTCAGAGGCGGTTTTGTGCCAGGGCTTGAAATCCAGCAAAGCATTGTGCGTTGAAATTACAGGGTCATATTTATAATGAAGGCATGCTGCATCTCTCGTGGGTTTCCCTTTATTAGATCTAAAGCAGACAAGTGGGGTCAGGTGGTCAAATGGCAGA